GATTTTTGCCAGTGTCAACTGATTTTTGCATTTATCTTTTTTTTATCCCGCCCACAGACAATTGAGGCAAATTGGCGATGTGGCAGACACAACTTGCAGAGGATTCAGTGTCGCTCAGAAAACAGTAAAGGTGTTTACTGTCTCCAGTATGATGATGACAAGATCATCAGTGGCCTTAGGGACAACTCAATCAAGGTATGTGTTCCAAAAGTTTTTTTTTTAACCTCAATTTATTTATTTGTTCCTTGTGGTTATGCTTTATTTTATAACTAGTTCAAAACCAGGTAACATGAACTATATTCAAGGCAGTTTTATGGTATCAAGTATAGTACGTCATGTACTAATGCAAAGTCATTCCTACTGTGACTGTCCAAGGAGCTGTTTCTATAAACAAAAGTCATTGTCTAGAATTACAGCCAGTGGCGCCCACTCTTTATGACAGGTTTATGTTGTTGTGGGATTATCTCATCCCCTCAGAAGTTCGGTTGCTGATCACAGCTTGTTTCAGGTTGTCAAAATGAGCATGTGGTTACGATTATTCTCAGTATACATTTAATGAAGGACATCAGCATTGTCAAATTATTGCTTTCTTAAATATTAAAATAGCCAAATGTATGTAGATATTGTTTTTGTAGCACAATAAAATATTACGTCCGTTCTACCTGTCAAACGTATTATTAGGTCATTGTGTATGTTCGACCTCTTCAGTTTGAAAATTTGTATTTTAGCTTTCACAACCTGTTTCCTGGAGCTGAGACAGTGAAGCATTTTACTGCCATGTTCCTGTCTGCCCCACTGTCCAAAACAGACATCTTGAAGTAATTAAAATTGATCCAGATTGTGTGTTCAAGCACCAGCAAGAGACAAAAAGTGTTTGCCAAATGCATGGTTGTTTTCTCTTAGTTTATGTATTTTTTTCGTATTTATTTATTTATTTTATTGAGTATTTTTCTAGTGCAATGCGTCTTCTCTTGTGTGTGGCTCTGGTTTGACACAGCAGACACTGAGACAAGACACAACTAAATTATGGGATAAAAAAGATCAACACCAGGCTCGTGTGTTCCATTTATCTGTCTAGCCTGGGAGGAGAAGAGATGATTATGATTATAAAGACGGGGTGAATGATGGGAGGCTAGCAGATTTGTCTCAGTGTTACGAAGGAGGCTGACACACAGGCAGAGAAAAGCTCAGCAGCTACTAGAAGGCACACAGCTCGGCCAAGCAGCAGCAGTAGTGAAATAGGGCATAAACAGTACATGGACACTGCTGTAAGAATAGGCCTCTATCAGCTTGACCCAAATTTGCATCCTTTGCATAACCATTCACTTTTCCAGTAACTGTGTCCCTTCTGCCAAATTTGCTCTCTCATGAACTCACTTACTTTGTTCTTTTTCTTTTTGCTTCTGTAGATCTGGGATAAGCAGACACTGGAATGTCTGAAGGTACTGACGGGTCACACGGGCTCAGTGTTGTGTCTCCAGTACGACGAGAGGGTCATTGTCACTGGGTCATCTGACTCCACTGTCAGGTATATATCCATGTAACTGCAGCAGGAAATCAGAGTACTTTGAATCAAGAGTAAAAGCTGTCAGCGAGTATTCTAACGAGCATGATTAAATAATTTGATATTTCTTTTCTTATTCTACATTTGGATAGAAAAGAGTCCTGGCTCTGAACACAATAAAGCTTGTTTTAGTTTTTAGAGAGGACAGCTACTGTCTTTGAATGGACACTATTTTTGCCCCATTTCCACTAGTGCCACTTAGTGTAGTGTCGGTACGGTCAGTGTCGGAACGGGTCAGTTCGGGTGCTTTTCCATTGACGTTCTAGTCTGGTTCCAGTGGGTGTGTTTTGGGCAGTTAGAGGTGATTTTTGGGTTTTTCAAAAAAGATTTAATGTGCAAAATGAGAGATGGAAACGCATTTGCTGAATAAGTTCTGACATAGCAGAAATTTACCTCAGTGTTGATCAGCTGTTCCCGCTGTCTGTCCGAACCGGTACCAGAGCTACTGAAGCTGGACCCTCCTCTTGAAGTCGGCGTCTTCTCAGTTATTCCCGTAACATGAAGAAAATCACATTTCTTTTTGTACGTCTCCAGACAGCATGTAACATCGCCAAAATTGTTTGATATGACAGAATAATTACAACTTTCCCGATAGTAGCAACAGGTTCCTGATCTTTCCATTGTCCTGGGATGCATCCCTGCGAGTTTTGCGACTTGTACTTCCTGTTTACCACGGCCATGGGTCTGAAGTAATTACACTACATGTAGCCTGGTTGATTCGCAGTTGATGGAAATGTCTGATTTGCATTTCCTCTTTTTTTCCTTTTGGCAAATTTTTAAAAATTCGCTAAAAATTAAAATTGAATTGAAACACGACTAATGTCGCTGCTACAATTGGAAAAAAATGGTGACTCAAGTTGTTGTAAAGGCAGCTCAGACACAACCTGTGAGTCCACCCCCTAGCCAATCAGTGATGAACAGTATTTTGATGTCACATTTTGGTGTCAACTGGGACTGTTTGGAACCACAACGAAGCAGGTACTAAAAAAAAGCTGATTCCATGAATCTGYCCTAATGGAAATTGCTTGGAACCATACCGTACCGACACTACACTTAAGTGGCACTAATGGAAGTCATAATATTTTACTTGCATCTTATTACAGAGCAATTCTTATCCAGAAAAATCCACAACCCATCAGTGATCTTAGTCACCTAATAATATTGACTTCTCACACTCACATGGTAACAACTGTACCTCAGCTAGACAGTAGGAGGGAGAAATAAACGGACTCAAATAATGTAACAGACTGTGAGGATTTACCTTGCCAGTAAACATCTTGTATACCAGAAACTGAGGTCTGATGGTAAATGAAGAAAGCAAACCCAAGATAAAAAACCACAACTCATTCGTGTGTGTTGACTCTGTTGCAAAACCTGCAACCTCAGATGTTCTTTATTATTATATTTTCAAACTTTTCTGCAATCGTATTATTAGATTTTTCCTGCTGGTAAAATGCTARTAAAAGACCTTTTTGAAGTATCTAATCAGATACTCATTTTAGTTGTGTTATCTGAGCATCAGTCATTGTTTGACATTTTTCTACTTTCTGACAGTGTATTACAAATAGTTGTGCAGTCAGTTGCAGCCTCCTACCTGTTMGTTAGTTTAAAATTTAAATTTGTTTCCACCTACATCACAGCTGCATCTCCCAATGTGGCAGTAGCTGAAAGAAACAAAACATTACAGTTTATTCATTCATAAACGGTTCCATTTACTGCTGTAACTAGAGATATTTGTAAATGTTTGATTGTGGATTTTTAAGAACTTGCCCAGAGTTTATATGTTGACATTTCCTTGGCCACCGCACACAGAAGCTCCAAATTAATACCCTTTTACTTCACACTTCAGGCGTACTGACTGGATATTATCCAAGGAAAATATGACTTCACTTCCTTAGCTACAGCTTGATGGGCACTTTGTTTGTATTTTTGGTTGTCAGCTTTTCCAGTGTGTTTTGCATTTGATTCTCAGAGCCCAGRAGTTGAGTAACTAGCAGCTGTGTGTCTGTTCACATAAAACCACTTTGCAAAAAAGTAGAGTCTTGTTTCCTCTCCCTTGTAGAATTTTTCTCACACATTTATATTGTTTTCCTTCGTTTTCCTTTTTGCCTCGTTTTTGCTTGTTTTTGTGTCGTCTTTTTTTCCCCTTACTGTTCTTCCTGCCTCCACATCTTGTTTTCTTTCCCACTGAATTTCTCCCATCATTTTTCTGTTTTTGTTCACCTCTTTGTCACATCTTCCCCCTTAGTTTCACACATTCCTCTTCCCATTTAACTCCTTTGCCTTTTTATGTTACTTCATAATCTCCCTCTCGGTCACCTTTTACACTGAATATTTGGCTACATTGACATCTCTCCCTGGTTAAATGTCATTGTTCTTTACCATTTAATTTTTTTCTTTCTTTCTTTAGGGTGTGGGAGGTGACGACGGGTGAGGTACTGAACACACTGATTCACCACAACGAGGCAGTTCTTCATCTGCGGTTTGCAAATGGTCTGATGGTCACCTGCTCCAAGGACCGTTCAATTGCAGTCTGGGACATGGCCTCGCCAACTGACATCAGCCTACGCCGTGTCCTCGTGGGACATCGTGCTGCTGTCAACGTGGTTGACTTTGATGACAAATATATTGTGTCCGCCTCAGGGGATCGCACCATCAAGGTGAACTGATATATTGTTTGTTTTTTTGTTTTTTTAGGGCTGCAACTAACGATTATTTTAATAATCGATTAATCTGTTGATTATTTTTTTCTTAATCGGTCAAATCACTAAAATGCTTAATTACATGATTATGAGTAGATATGAATTAATTTCATTCCTGTGTAAATTCGGGATGCAAATTGTCGATTACTGAATAAATCTGAAGTTGCTTTATCTTATACATTGACTAACAATTAATTGTTAGTTGCAAGTTGCAGCCATTTTCTTAAAAACCGGAGTTTTCTCTTGAATCAAGAGGGTCTTTTCATAAAATGAAGGATTTTCTTTTATAATCTCCGGAATTAAAAAAGCAGAAGCACATCATAAATATTTTAATAATTTATTTTGCCAGCTGTATTAAATACTGACTGAAAAAGTGTATTTGTCATACATAAAACATAACAGAAATTTAATAGGTTGCTGAATGAGGAAAACCGATTAAAAGAATATATGATTTTTAGATGTAAAACTATTAATTTATTATAATTAGAATTTATTTACATTTAACATTCATGATTTTTCTCTAATTCTTTACTTTTTGCTTCCTTCTTGTTGGTTCTGTCTGACTAAAACCTTGTTCTATGACCCAGTAAGCTGTTCTGAAGAAGCCCGTATATATGTATTAGCTCAGTGCTAGCATGACAAACAAGCTACACTGAGGTCCGCCATCCATATTGTCAGTTACTGAGTCATTTTTTCGTTCTCCTTTCTGTCATGTAGATGGAGGACCTCATTGATGAGAGGAGAATGTGTAGCACTGAGCTAATACATACTGTATATATGGTGATAGCGTCGGGGCTAACGTTAAAGCTAACAAGCTAAGCTGAGGTTCTTCTTCCATGAAGCAGCTCTGTTGTCCTCCATCTATATATTCAGTTACAGGCTGAGTCATTTCTACCTTCTCCTCTCTGTCAATGCTCTCTGGTTTCATTTAAAAGAGACAATCATCAGATATTGTCCAAGGTTAACCTTCAGGTTGGATATAGCTCGCTAGCAGCCTCACACCGAGGACCTATCCATGTCATCATTTACCCAGAATGCTTTGCGTATAAATGAAATGGCTCAGTCAGTGTAATATATTTTTAAACTTTTAGTTTAAAAATTATAAAAACTGAACAACCTGCAGTATTTTTACAGTCTTTATTTTATAGTTAAAATATATGTTTATTAAATAAAGTCTAACGTTATAACTAATCATGGATCCCTTTAAAAATTGGTTTAAAGTTCGAAGTCTCTACTTTTGACTCGAGAGTCTCAGAGAGGGCGGATCTTTACAGGTAGAGTTTTTTTTTTCTTCCTAACGTTTAGTGAGGTCAGCCAGCATTGACAAAGCTCTGCAGGTGACGTAAACGGCTCAGCGACATGGCGAGGGACACGTAAATTGCGCAACACAACGAATCAATAATCAAATTCGTTGCCAACGCTTTTGATAATCATGTTTTATTGATTTTATAGATTCGTTGTTGCATCTCTAGTTTTTTTTTCCTCCTTTTTTATTAACTTAGCTTGCCATTTGTAATTCAGGCATTTGTTTGAACTAATAATAATAATAATAATAATAATACTGCCCTTTTTTTTTTGTAGGTATGGAGCACCAGCACCTGTGAGTTTGTGCGCACTCTTAATGGTCACAAGAGGGGAATTGCCTGTTTACAATATAGAGATCGTCTGGTAGTCAGTGGTTCATCTGACAACACAATACGGTACGTGTGAGACTCGACTGTAGTGTTCACTCATTTGTTTATGCAGAGTTTGTCTGTTGAAAACAAACTGTAGTCCGTCTGCATGAATTGATTTTTACACTTCAGTGTAACTTCAAGACTATATCTGTCATATCTGTCCTGTGAAGTTTTTCTTTATCAAAATAACTCAAAATGGTTTACTATGATGATTCCAGTTTGATTGCAGTATCCAAAGACTATTAATTATGAAGAATGATTTGTGTGCATTGTAAAGTCATTTTTCTGAGCATTTTTATTATTTTTGTGTCTTTAGTGTATAAGATACGTATATGGAAGGGCACCAACAATGTCGGTAACAAAGTGCACAAATAATTTAAGCATACTTTAAAACAGAKTATTCAACTGGCAGCCCACAGGCCACATCCAGCCCGTCAGTGACCTTTGTTCGGCCCGCCAAGTTCTGTTATTCATTTTTTTTACTTGATTATATATACAACTAGATTTTAAATCAAATTTGAATATATGATGCAATGCAACCAAATGAACGAATAGTAAATTATAACAATTATTGTTATTTTACATAATTCATTGTTTCCTCATATAGCATGTCCGTCCCCTGAGATGTTGACTTTGAGCAACTGTGGCCCCTTGGGCAATTTAGTTGGAACAGCCCTGCTTTAAAAAATTGCAGCAAGTCATCTCAATGATTCAATAAGAATCTCAAGTTCCAACATGTCATTATCACAGTCACTCAAAGTATTAAGTTTTAGTAATTAAATTGATTTTAGGACCAAAATATTGCCAGATCCTTCTAGAATGGACATTGGAATTCTCTAAAAATATTAATTTAATTCTTGGTTATTCTAAAAGAATAATGCTGCTTTGTAAATGGTGGCGTTTCAAAGTCGAGCACTGATTACAGTGTAAATATTATGTTTATCACGGGTTGTTACAAAAGCTCTTCTCCCTTCAGATTATGGGACATAGAGTGTGGCGCCTGTTTGCGAGTGCTGGAAGGTCACGAGGAGTTGGTGCGCTGCATTCGCTTTGACAACAAAAGGATTGTCAGCGGCGCCTACGACGGGTAAGTCTCATGAATCCGCACAATTTTTCACCGAGTTTGTTTTCTGACTTTCCTTTGTGCCGTGTTTCTGTCTGCAGGAAGATAAAAGTGTGGGACCTGCAGGCAGCACTTGACCCACGGGCCCCTGCCAGCACATTATGCCTGCGCACTCTAGTGGTAAGCTGCATTTGGGCTTTTATTTTCTCTGTGTAACTATAGTGTAAATACACAAGTGTCAGCTGCAGATTCTTTGCTGTTGTTAAACCTCATACATGAGCTATAACCTACAAAAATGTCCTGATTTCTCACTTAAAATACAAAATACATATCTAGATGCATTTCACCAAAACAATGCAGTATATAACAGCACTCTAGTAAGAACTGTTGAAGTTCAGTAATCTCCCAACTTCATGATTAACATACTTGACTGGGTGGGAGTGTTGTACTTTATATACTACACTGAACTTTGAGATTCTGATGTAGATTCAAAAAGTCATATTCTCAATATTTGTCACGCTGTTACCCTATGATGTCAGACTGCTGTCTGAATTGATTTCCATGCGAAATATATGAAAAGGAGGAAATAAAAACAACAATACCTTCCTCTTAAAGCACTGTCTATGTATTTTTTTCCAGGGGGAACAGTATCAATAAATAATTTGCACACAGGCTGCAGAGTGTTTCTAATGTTTTTCGTATGTCTTGTTTTTTATAGGAGCACTCTGGCCGCGTATTCCGCCTGCAGTTTGATGAATTTCAGATCATCAGCAGTTCTCATGACGACACCATTCTGATCTGGGATTTCCTGAACGTCTCACCGAACGGCCAGTCAGAGGGGCGGTCTCCTTCTCGCACCTACACTTACATTTCTAGATAGCAGGTATGTATGGCCGTTTTTTTTTTTTTTTACAAAACGATTCCAACTTTCCTCAGCAATCCTGTTTGTGACTGTAGATTCCTGTATGTTCTCGCCCTAGGTGGCGCCCTCTGAGACACACTTTCTTGGAGGAAATCCAGGGCTGATTGGTTGATGGGTGCATCTGTCATGCACAGGAAGCCCATCTTTTCTCCTTCCTCCTTGTCATCTCTCTGTCCATCTCCCACTCAGTCCCCATCCCCTCCTTCGCCCCYCCCGTTCTGAAAGACTTTATGCTTGTGTCCATTGCCTGCCAGTACAATACATACAGGTCAGCACCGATAAGGATCCCCCTACTACAGAACTGACTCAATTTTCCCAGGAAGTTCACCTTCTCCTACTAATTTATGTTTTGTAAAGTACACTGACAGTATTAACGTAGGCCTGATATAAGTCACAAGCTCCCTTTTTTCTTTTTTGTTTTAATTTTTTGACCCCTTGATTCAAACTTGGTCAGTTTTCAACCCCTGCCAAAAATGTTTCCACAGATAGGGAGTTGCTTATAGATATATATTTATATATACATTACATAGACAAACACAGTGGCACAGTTGGACAGAGGATGACTAGAGCTGTGATGCGGGAGACAGAGACTCTTTACTCGGCTCTAGGACAGAAGGGAAGGACGAGAGGTCCCGGGATCGAATGAGGGAAAAGTTGGGGATATCGTCCTCCACACTCCCTCTCACTCCTCGTCGCTCCTCCCTGCCTCCTTTTTTTAAAAATATTTTTTCTCCACATCCCACTCCCTTTCCAGCTCCTCCCACTAGCTTCCCTATCACAGCCCCTCCAGAGGTGCACACTCGCTAGGAATACAGGGGCGCGCACACTCCAGACGTGTGTGTGTGCGTGTGTGTGTGTTTGTGTAAGTGAACATGTGAAACTGCAGAACAGAGCAGATGCGTCAGACATGCATGTGAGGTTTCCATGGATACAGCGTCCTGGTACACCTTTTGCTTTTTTTTCTCCTCTTTAACTTTTTCTTACTGTTTTTTTAATAACTGTTATTTTCTAATTTTGAGTATTTTGGTTCCTAGTACAAAAACAAATCATACTAAACATAGTGTTTTTTTTTCCCTCCTGCTACACTTTTTTTGTCTCCTCATTTTTTCCTCCTACTTCAACTTGTGTTCATCTGTCCCTTTTCACTCCATCCTTCTCTCCCATCATCTAAGTGCTTGCTTTGGATATGAGAGAAGCTGGAATTCAAGAGCTCAAATTTAGCTGTAAACGGAATTGTCTTGTCAAAAATTGTGTTGTATATTAAAACGATTTTTTAAAGAAGAAAACAAACTTATTGTGAATAAAGTACTTGACAGTGGTGGAGTGTTGAGCCGACTGTAACATGGGCGAGTGTCTAATCGTCTGTGTGAATGAGTGGATTGTTGTTACACTGTTTGTTCATGTGAGGTGTAGATGTTTAAATTTTTCTTAACCAGCAGGATTAGGGGGTTCTGCTGTGTTGAACTTAATAATTTTTAAATAAATAAAGGTGTTAGAAAGCTGCGTTGCAAATTTAACAAACAGCAAACGGAAAATGCTGCAGCAGCCTTTTATAAAAGAAGTTACAGCGAGTAAAATAAATATTGAACACGTCACCATTTTTCTCAGTAAATATATTACTAGAGGTGCTAATGACATGAAATTTTCACCAGATGTCGGTAACAACCCAGTGATCCATACATACAAAGAAATCAAACCATAAATGTCCAGAAATGAAGTTATTTGTAATAATGTGGAATGGCACAGGGAAAAAGTATTGAACACACTTACTGAAATTTATCTAATACTTTGTACAAAAGCCTTTGTTGTCAATGACGGCTTCAAGACGCCTCCTGTATGGAGAAACTAGTGGCATGCATTGCTCAGGTGTGATTTTGGCCCATTCTTCCACAAACAGTCTTCAAATCTTGAAGGTTTCGTGGACCTCTTCTATGAACTCTGATCTTTAGTTCTTTCCATAGATTTTCTGTTGGATTCAGGTCAGGTGATTGGCTGGGCCATTCCAGCAGCTTTAGTTTCTTTCTCTGAAACCAACTGAGAGTTTCCTTGYCTTTGTGTTTGGGCTCATTGTCTTGCTGAAATGTCCAGCCACGTTTCAGACCAGACTATAGTCTCCCAGTATTACACAGGCTTGTTTAAATGTTGTGCAGCAAACTTTAAAGGAGCTTCAACATGCTGTTTCTTCAGCAGTGGAGTCTTGCGTGGTGAGCGTGCATACAGGCCATGGTGGTTCAGTGCATTACTTATTGTTTTCTTTGAAACAATCGTACCTGCTAATTCCAGGTCTGTCTGAAGCTCTCCACAAGTGGTCCTTGGCTCTTGGACAACTCTTCTGATAATTCTTTTCACTCCTCTGTCAGAAATCTTGTGAGGAGCACCTGGTCGTGGTCGGTTTATGGTGAAATYATGTTCTTTCCACTTCAGAATTATGGCCCCAACAGTGCTCACTGGAACCTTCAGAAGTTTAGACATTCTTCTGTAACCYATGCCATCATTATGCTTTGCAACAATAAGGTTGTGAAGGTCTTGAGAGAGCTCTTTACTTTTACCCATCATCAGYTGGTTCTTGTGTGATACCTGGCCATCATTTGGGACTGAACCAGCTGATATTAATTTGCACTGACAAGGGGCAGGCTTGCTTTCTAATTACTGAGAGAGTTCAGCTGGTGTCTTTGCTTTCCATGCCTTTTTACACCTCCCTTTCTTCATGCGTTCAATACTTTTTCCCTGTGCCATTCTACATTATTACAAATAACTTCATTTCTGGACATTTATGGTTTGATTTCTTTGTATGTATGGATCACTTGGGTTGTTACAGACATCTGGTGAAAATTTCATGTCATTAGCACCTCTAGTAATATATTTACTGAGAAAAATGTTGACGTTTTAAATACTTATTTTACCCGCTGTATGTGTCAGTACATTTCCTTGGAAGTATGTTTTTAAAAACTCCCTGCAGCAGCCTCCTAAAATGTAATTTTTCTGAATGAATAACTGAATTTGAAACCAGAATCCTTTGATTAGACTTAAAGTGCCTGTGACATCAAATTTTTGTAATAAACACAAATGCACTTTTGGAAAGATAACACTGATAACATATTGCAAAACAAATTTCACGCCACTGAGATGAATGGTTGAGATATTTGCATGTGAAGAAACAGGAAGTGATGTCAAAGGGGAATGTTGGTATGTAAACAGCATTGTTGCAAAAGCTAACACACTGTAGAAAAGAATCTGTTTTATTTTTAGTCACTGTCAAAGAGAGACAAAAGTTAAAGTTTAAATAACGTTTTAATCAGTGACCAGAGAGTTTATTTTATTAATGAGTTCCCTTTTGATGTCACTTCCTGTTTCACTTTGGCTGAGCCAAATTTAAAAGAAAATAGGCCAGTTATGTGATTAAAATTGGTAAAACCATGTTTATTATGCCAATTTTAAGTATAAAGATGCTTACTTTGACTTATGTATTTGAAGGATAGGCWTGTCACAGGCACTTTAAGTTTTACCCTAAAATGATAAAAAAAAAAGCAAAGAATCTCTGATCACTTGCCTTTGATGTATTTTTGTCTCTCACCTGTTGAGTAGGCCTGGTTCTTTAGTCTTTTCAAACTGAATTCAAGTTTGCACCTCTTGTCATAATCTTAAAGGCATTTTTGTTTTATTTGCCACCACGTTTTGGTTATTCCCAGTTAATGAAATTATTTGACCATTCATGCATCGGTCAGTTTTGGGGRGGACAAAAACCTGCTGAGTTTGCAATTAGAAAAGTAAAAGCTCATTCTGTTCTGAGTCTGGCCACCAGGTGGGAGCATAAACTTTATTATTATTTTTTATTTTCCGTAAAGCACAATTTATCTGTTTATCCAGGTTTGACTCCATCTGTCACCTTGCCAAGTTTGCAGTTTAAACAACCTGTTACAGAAGATAAGGACTTTCAAACCCCGTAAAGAAGAGTATATTTAAAATCCAATTAATTTTAAAGGAAATTCCAATTCAATTTTTATAGAATATTCTGGATTTGTCCAAATTTTCACAAGTCTCCACAGTTTGTGGGGTGGGGGTACATTTCTAGGCTTACGTCTGTGTTGCAGAATGCTTCAAAATTCTGGGAATAAGTTATGTGAGATGAATTTGTGTTTGGTGGAGCACCATTTTAATATATGATGTGTGTATGTGTGGGGATATTGGGTGTGTGTTCTTCCTCTGGGTCTGTGGGATTTTGGCCCATAATTCCTGCAGCTCTCAGGTCACAGCTCTGTTCTCACGCACATATTTGGCATTCCTTCCCCGACATGATTACCATACACCTTCCACTCTGGGTTTGGCTACGTGGAATATTTCCATCATTCCCAAGTGGAGCTGAAGCAATGTTCCAGAAATGTACAACCTACACCAGCACCACTACCCCCTCCCTGTTTACTCTTCTTTACCCCACACCCGCTCTCTCTTCCACCTCGATGTCTCCTCCCTGTAACACCCCCTTCAGTTCAGATTCCTCTTGTCTTGCAGTAGGAATCATCTGGTAGAATTTTTTTTTTCCCCCGTCAGCTGTTTGTCTGTGAATAGGTCATTTGGCAGTGTCGTCTTTCCGGTGACCTCCTGCTAGGATTGGGAAGTGATGGGAGGATAGAAGAAGGAAAAAAAAACAACTATAAAACTCCATCTTCCTGCGTTGAGATCCTTCTGTTTCTTTAATAATTCACGCTGAATGTGGAAAAACAGTTTGAAGGTTCTTTTTGCTGTTGCCTTTCAAATGTTTTTACATGAACTCTTAAATTCCAGCTCATCTAAAGCATTGATGTCCAATTTAATAAAGTCGCTCCTGCAAATGGTTTGAGGAGGAAAGGGAAGATCTTCCCTTGAGCATGTCATTTTCATGAAGGGCCTTAAAAAACCAACAGCCTAATTGTCACTCAAGTATTTCAGTCTAAATGACATGAGCCATAGGACACTCCATTAATAGTTTTCAATCTAACATCAAATGGACTTAAACATACAATTGATGCCACCATGTCATTATTTATTAAATAAAAACTGCTGAAAACACCATTAGCAACAGCAATAACTTAAAGTAGTAATTTTCTCTTTGACTGAGGCTTATGTCAAATTGAGCGGGAATTTGAGTCATTATTTTATAATATTGCTTAAGTTCATTGAGGTTTATATTGGTTTCCACACAGCAATTCCTACTATTTCAAACTGATTCAGTCCTGGACTGAATGGATTGTCACACCTGGATTTTTACCTTTTTCTGTCCTGTTGTAGATTTCCTACTGCGTTTGGGATCATTGTCCCGTTCCATGAATTGTTTTAGTCAAAGCATCAGCTGTCAAACTTTTATTATACAGAGGACTTCGTGGTCATTTTGACCACAAGTTGCTCAGGTCCTGTGGCTGCAAAACAAGTCTAAATCATCACTTTCCCACCACTGTGCTCGTCTGTGGTTGGGATTTTTATATACTTTGGTTTCATACTCAAAGGAAATTGGTTCAAAAATTGTGGTTTATTCAGATGTAGCTTTACAAGCTGAAGTTGTTTCCGTGTTTTTAGAGCGACGAAGCATTCACCTGACAACCCTAAACAAGCCATTTTTGTTCAGTTTGTTGTTTTTCTAATTGTCCTGTAATGAACTTGAACCTGCTGAGTCCTGACTTTTAAGTGAAGTTGGACTTACATTATGTCTTGATGGTTTTATACTTGTAAATAATCTTTCTCACTGTAAAATGGATCCAAATTGTTTGGAAATAACCCACTAACCCTCATCAGATTAATGAACAGCAGCATTTATTGTTTTAAAGATCATTGTTGATGTATTTTTCTCCTTTAGCAATCTGTATGTGCYCACACCTGTGTGCTCCAGAGCAGTGAAATGCGGTCACTCTAATGAACAGGTAATCAATATTTTTGATCAGCTGCACCTGGCTGTGAAATGCCCTTTTAATCTTATGAAAGCAGCAAGAGTAGACTATTATTATTATTATTATTATTATTATTATTATTATTATTATTACTACTACTACTACT